GTCAACAACTTCAACAAGTAATAGTAGAAGTAAATTATTCCCCTCCTATACCAAACCTGCTTATGAAAATACATCAAGTCCACCTAGTTCACCACACAATCAGAAGTATTAGGAAACTATAGTCAAATCAACACATAACAAACCTTTTGATTAACAAAGAGTTATTAAAACAAGAATTTTTACAAAATTATAATAAAGAAAAAAGACAAATATTCTTTACAAATTTAGTCTAGAAGAACAAAATACCCTTAGATCTAATGGTACAATACACAGAAAAATTAAACAAAATTTTATTTCTTTAATTGGTTAGAAAATAAATGTTATCAAATTTAAGTGAAAAAAAACTATATTTGTTACCACTATGCGACAAAAAATTGGCAAACACACAACAATAAACTATTACATCTGTCCATCCACTTTTAGAAGAAATTAAAATAGAACATCAACAAGCAGAAATAATAGCATCACCCATTTAAGAAAATTAATAGAATTGATGATGATCAAAAGCAACCAACTTTAAGAGACATTAAAATATTCAACATCAAAACAATTACTCTAATCAAATTCTTCACACCATTATCAACAATGAATAGGATAGAAGATACTAACTACCACATATTACAAATTTTCAAAAACCCCCAGAAGGAGATAATGAAAATTCAACAAATTCACCAACTTTAGGAAATTCAACATCAACTTTAACATCAATTCAACACCCCTTTATTCACAAAAATATGTTAAACCATTTTTGAACCCTTTGACATTCCCAAAAAGGAAATTATTAAACTCAATAATCACAATACTATTTTAGAAAATATTAGTAAAAAACTTAGTGAATTATCATCCTCCAAATCAACATTAATGTCCTTTCCAAATCCCCAATCAAAGAACAAAAGTATGGAAAGAAAACTTTCTTATTATAATAATAAAAATAAAGAATAAAAAAATGTTGGAAATGTACAAAGGACACGATGCGTTCTATTATCCCACTAAAACACAAATAAAAACTTAACATTAATCCCAACATAATCTAACAAACGTATCTTTTGAAATACTACCACCTCAACGACATTTTACCCCTCAATTAATAAGCCTAAGTCAAGACGATTCTGATAATAACTTTGACAAAAACTTCAATAATTCTTTAGAAGGAACCCTCTAAATATTAAGAGCCAATTTCCACAAAATTACAATAATAGTAACCCAATGAAATCAATTAATATGATATCAACATCTAGACCTAAGTCAATAAATGTTATTACCAAATCAAAAGAATTTTTATTAGATATTTGACAAATACAGGACGAAGACATTAAAAGAGAATATTTATTAAAACTCAAAGAATTAATTTTATCCGAAGAAAAACAAAAAGATGTAGATTCTTATAATTAAAGACATATTAAAATATTTGACAAACCCACACAAGTTACTCTAAGTGATTTACAAGAAGAAACAATATTCTGAAAAATCAAGTTAAAGAATTACAAAACATAATATTGAAATCAAGACAATTTATATGTAAAAGCCTCCAAAGAAACTGTAGTACACCATCAACCTCAAAATCGGTTACAGATTAAAGAAACTGAGAGAGCATTATATGAAATTTCTAGAATTCAACTTAAAAAATGGCATTTACATTAGATCAATATTATCATGAATTAGATATTATACACAAGCTTAGTAGACACTGAGCAGATCAAAACTGTATAAGGAAGGATTAATTCCACAAAAATATATGAAAAAACAAAAGAGAGATATATGGAGCAAATGGTCAATTAAACATTAATTACAAATTATCTAATGCTCTATTTGTATACAAAATTTTTGTATTAAAAGTACTTTTATTTTAGCAAAGATCTTGATCAAGATGTTATATTAGGTACACCTTTTATCACTCAAATTTACCTTTTAGTGTAACCAATAAGGAAATTACAACAAATTTTTAGGACAAGAAGTAACATTTGAATTTGTTAATCTCCCCTAATAAAGATATTAATAATTTAAAGGACTTAACAATATCAAAAATAAATCTCATTAATTATAAGAAAAAGCAAATTCATTTCTTAAAAGAAGAATTGAAACTGAAAGGATAAAACAACAATTAGAAACTCCAAAAATTCAAAATTATTAAAATTAGAAAAGCGATTTTCACAAGACATATGCTCAACAATTCCAAACGCTTTTTGGGATAGAAAACAACATGTAGCTGTCTTCCCTATATTAAAAACTTTGATGAGAAAAATATCAACAAAAGCTAGACCATATAGATGATAAAATTACTCGAACACTGTCATAAAGAATCAAAGATTTACAAGACAAAAAATTAATTAGACACAAGTAAATCTCCATGGAGTTGCTCTGCCTCTAGTCAATAATGCGCAGAAAAGAAAGAGGAGTTCCAAGATTAGTCATTAATATAAACCATTAACAAATTATTACATGGATTAGATATCCCATTCCCAACAAAAAGATTAATTAATAGACTATATAATGAAACAATATTTTCAAAATTGATATGAATCAGGATTTTGGCAAGTTCAAATGATGAATTAATAGATACAAAACAGCATTTAATTCCTTTTGGTCAATATGATGGAACGTTATGCCTTTCGGATTAAAAAATGCACCATCAAATTTCAAACATTATGATGATATCTTTTAATCCCATATATACCTTTACAATAGTATATATTGACGATTCTTAGTTTATTCAGAATCAATAGATCAACATTTAAAACATTTAAAAATATTTGAAGAAATTATTAAAAGAAATGGATTAGTTGTTTCAGCCACAAAATGAAATTATTTCAAGCAAATCAGATTTTTAGGTCATGAAATTATAAAGGAACTATTAACACAATTGATAGAACAATAGATTTCGCAAATAATTTCTCTGATGAATTAAGAGATAAACACAATTACAAAGATTTTTAGATGTCTTAATTATGTACATAGTTTTTCCAAGACCTTAGAAATTATTTGAACCTTATACCAAGACTTAGAAAAAATCCTCCTGCATGGCCTGAAAGCCATACCCGAATAGTTAGAGAAATCAAATCAAAATTAAATTCCTTCCTGTCTTAGTATATTGGATCCATCAGCCTATCCTATTTAGAAACTGATTGCTCTGATACCATTTATAGCAGGATCTTTAAAACAAAGTGATTGAAGCAAAAGTAAATGAATGAATTAAAGTATTAAAAGACTTGAAGTCAAGTTAATAAAATAAAGTAAATGCAAAGACCATTGTAAATAATGCAAAGTAAATAAGTCAAGTAAATAATGAATGTGTTAAGAAACTTACAACTTTATTCTTTGATAATTTGTACACGAGAGGAAACTTTCTCTCTCTCAGTATTTGAAAACTAAACTTAAAATTTTGTGATCTTTCTGAGCTTTCTAAAACTTTCTCTAAAACTGTTCTAAAAACTTTTTCTAAAAACTTGATGCTTACAATCGGAAGTGATTTCTATTTATACTACAACAGACCGGATTTCAAAAACATTTGAACGTTACATTAATGCAATACAGGAAAAGATAAAGTTTTGATAAGTGATGAGCTGTCTTGGATACGTGTCTTAAATTATTGATCTGTTCTGAAATGACAACAAACCGATAAGGCTCAATAAAAATATCTTAAAAGTCTTGCTTGTTGCAGGGGAGCTTGACAAAGTAAGTCTTGAAATTGTTAAAAGCTTTACAGAAGCCACGTGAAAGGATTGTTTTGAAGAAGTCTTGATGTCTTTAAATGTTTGCGAAAATCTTAACAATTTCTTCTGGGCAAGAGATAAGTCGACTGGAGAAGAATCTTGTCAGCGTCGAAATTTTTGAATTTTGAGACTTGAAATTATTGCAGAAGCTACGTGATAAAGCTTTGAACATCTTCATAAAGATAGTCTTAAAAAAGTCTTGCAAATGTTGAAAATTGAACAAAGCGATGCTGAGTCACTGCCGCTTAATCATCTTCAAATGTGAGAATCCTCAAATTGAGAGTCTTGAGAATTGCCCGAAAGAAAATTATCTGAATCACTTCTTCGGAGTGTTGAGAATTGTCTCGAACTTGAGAGCTTAATAAATCATTTTCTCCTTCGTAATCATCGACCTCGACTAATTCAACTGCCTCTTCATTTGTGATTAATTGTTGAATATAATTATTGGTTTCTGATGTTGATGTTGAAGGTTATTAAAAAGAGAAGCGCCCAAAAACTAAATGATTCTTTTGGATGGGCGTCCTTATATTTCATGAGAACCTTTTTGGCACGAATTTCGGTTTCAAGAATTATTTGTCAATGACTTTCGAAAAATGGGTAAGGCTCAGCTAATTGAATTGGTGTTGGATTTTTAAGATATTGAGATAATGCCAAAAAATCATCAATATGGAATCATGAAGAATTCTTTGCCAAATATCATTTGAAAACATGTCTTTGAATTTCTGTGATTGTTTTTCTTTTGAAAAGATGACGATTTTGGACAATAGTAAAAATATTTTTATTTTTGTAGCATTTTATATTGATAAATGTATTTTTACTGTAATGTTTATTTAATTAAATATGTTTAATTTAATTAAATTAGTATATTTTCAAAGTAATTATTATTTAATAAAAATATCTTCCTAATATTTAATTAATATATATAAAATAATTAGTGAAATAGATTAATTGCTGTTATTAATAGAAAAAGAATATTCTAAAGATATTCTGTTTGATGTATGTTTGGTGCAAGGTTTGGAGATTTAATAGTGTTTCAACACCACAAATCCACACAAATTTGGTGTTTGTGGTTGGAGATGGTGTTACACCAAATTGGTGTAATGCTTGGCGCTGGGTTGGAGGCTATCTTTCATGCCATTTTAGTGTTTTTACACCAAAATGGTGTTGGATTGGAGATGCCCTAAGCTATAGCAATTATAATTGTTAATAAACTTTAATGACGCATAACTAAGCTCAAGAATGTATTTTAACCAGAGCTAATAGGAAATTCGAAAGAAGATTAACAAGAACCTTGTTATCTGCCAGAGCTTTGGAAGATCATGTTCCGACCAAACTAAGAATCACTGGTCCCTCAACCAGATGAGGGAATTGCCTCTGATCTTGAAAAGTGGTTTCCTTAGTCTTCGCTTGCTTTCATGGTTACATCTTCAAGCATTCTATCATTATCATATCCAATCAATCAATCATCACAAAATAAGTGGTGCATCCTTGTTAACAACCTATGAATCTGGAAATAAAAAAATCATGCAGGATACTACTGGAATAATTTCAACCAGGCTTTTTCTATTTCTGTGCCCTGTAACTGCAAATTATTTGAGAAGCATGTACTACAAATCATCTTTCTTGAGTTAGAGCCTCTTATTAAAAAGGTTTTCTATGTATGTGCAAATCATCTTTTGAAGCACATTTTTTCTTTATAATCATATTCCTGATCTCTACCAGCTTCACACCTCAAATTTTATTGATGGAATCCATGTATGCACCTGAAATCACCAATCTCAGTTTCTTAAGAAAAGGATTCTCACAATCACTAGCTGAAGACACGATGGGCAACACCGTGGCAATAAGAATGAAATTCTCTCTATTTCCAACATCAATTTCATACAACTCACTAAAAACCTCCCGAAATTCACGTATCAATGTCTCATAAAATGACCTGTTTGGAGGAATCACATTTATGACAAAAATCCCAAAATCACTAAGTACTAATCTAGCAGCCAAAAGAACATTTCTTGTAACAAATTCCAAAGGCGGGGCACTAATACCACTCTTAGCATCACCAGAATCTAAATCAACCATAATAACATCAAATTTAGTATCCAAATCACCATCATTTACCCCATGAGCACCAGATGAATCCGAATTCTGCCCATTAGCTCGACACGCAAGCTTCTCTATGAACTCTATAGCATCTCCAACATGAAACCAAACATCCTCACCATCTTCTAATCCAAAATACCTCCTTGCGACACTCAAAACTTCTTCATCCTTTTCAACTCCAACAACTTCAAAACACAACTGGGTTCTCAAGAAACTAACCAAAGCCCCGCCTCCAACCCCAACACACAAAGCTTTAGGCCTAAACCCACTTTGAATTCGCTCACCAAGATATGAACCAATCAAAGTACAACTTGCAACCATTGGCACCAAATACACATGCACCAAAACCCCAATATCAGGTCTAAACCTAACTCTTCCTCCAATCTTAATCAAATCCAAAGAGAGTTCCGTCTCGGGCACGATTCTAACCTCAGTTTGTACTAAATTTGGCAATCTTTTAAACCTCAATCTTCTCCTAAACTCTCTCTTTTCACACTCATTCTCTATCTCAACATCTTCAACAAGCATAGCACCAACAAAAGCACCAACAAATCTATCTAAAACAACACTAGAAATCACATCATCTTCATAATTCAAAATGGGTAGATCAAGAATTCCATCTTTAACACAAAAGTTTCTAGACAAAGCAATTACCAGAGGCATGACATTTTCTTCCAGTCTCTTTTTGTAAACGTTGTCGTTTTGGTTCTGGCGGTGGTAAATGGTGGGCGAATCAGGGCCATCCGTTGGCTGCTCTCCGATCAATATGAGACGTGAGATTTTGTGGGAGTGAGGAGAAGCTGGAGGTGACCTGACTCGTGGAGAAAATCCATCGTGGTGGCGGTTTGGGAACGAACATGGTGCAACTCGGGGTGAGTCATGGGTTGAACGGGGAGTCAGAACGGCGACTCGGAGGAGGGTGGTGGTGATGAGAGAGAAGGGGGTGGGAATTGTGAAGGTGATGAAGCGTGAAGGGAGTATGGATCGAACATGGCCGCGTCCAGGCCATTTTTGGGTCTTTGTTTTGGCGGTTGGCCTTTCATTTTTCTATTGTACTTCTAGAAATAATGGTGCTTACAGTAATTTAATCCCAGATATGGGATTTAAATGTAATATGTTATTTAAAAAAATTAAGTCAAGTAGGGTTTTAATAGTTAAATCCATTTTAGTACATTGTGTTTACTTTTATTTTTAATGCGACCTCACCTCGTTTGAGAAATATCTTGTAATTCTTGTAATATTATATATATATAATATTTTGGTTTTGAGATACTCGTTGATTTTGAAAATGTACTTAATCCCATGTGTTTACCTTTTTTAGAGAATATTATTGGTTTAAAAAATATCATTAATTCAACCTTTAAATTATCAACAATTTATAATTTAATTTAAAAAAAAATATTAATCTTTCAACATTATTACAAATTTAGATATTAAATTAATTAGATTAGATAAATAAATAAAAACAGTCATTTTTTATAATAACTAATCTTTTGTAAATATGACGTTAGGATTTATATCTAAAACTAAATCTGTTAAGTACAAATGAAACAAACGAATGTTACACTAAAGGTCAAATAAAGGGTTTTAAAAAATAAGTCGACATTATTGCTTTTCACTTTTTTTTTTAAATTTCATTAATACAAAATAAATAATAAAATCAATAAAAGAAAACACCTTACTCAATAGGTCATATTTCTAAAACTAACATCTGCTAAGTACATGACAAAAAGATTTCCACATAAAAGGTCAAATACACGGTTTTAGATAAAAGAATTATAATCGTTTTCATTTTTAATTTTTTTAATCTTTTAGAAAATACAAAAAAAAAATACAGATACTATTATTGTACTTGTAAAGACCGACTCTTAATCAATATTTATTGCTTTAATGAAGTGGTAAAGAAACTTACAACTTTATTGCTTTGATAGTTTGTCACGAGAGGAAACTTCTCCTCAAAGTGTTTGAAAACTTCTAAAACTTAATGATTTTTTTGTGGCTTCCTAAACTTGACGCTTACAACGGAAGTGACCATATTTATACTACAAACGATCGGTTTCAACCATTTGAATCCGTTACAATACTAAACACAGGAAAAAGATTAAAGGTGTTGAAAGTGATGAGCGGTCTTGATACGTGTCTTGCCTTATTATGTACGCTCGAACTTTTCCGACCCGTGCTCCTATATTCCTACCCGTCAATCTTTCGAACTCGGTTGTCTTCTTGTCCTGCTCGTGACACCCGGTTCGACCACGCCATGGGACACACGATCAGTTTCTTTCTTTCTTTAATTGTCATACCCTAGCGACATAGTTCTCGCCATTCTAATTCCCATTATCGTCCCGCGTCTCATGCCGGTACCGCATCTAGCCCCGGTACGCAGTTTCAACCTCTGTTCACGCTCCATCCAGTCCTACACCGTACTTTGCGGATAGATATATCTGTGTATCTCGGCCCCTAAGGCTCCGGACTAATCCACTTCTCTCCATTCGACCGCGCATCCTCGCCTATAGCCTATCTGCCATTGTGGTGCGTGAGGCCACTTTCCCTCCTTCCTCCCTCCCCAGCATTGATCTCACTAGCTATGGCTTACTTTCATTGTGACTCTCTGATTGTTGCTTCACGCCATTCTATCTTCGTCCTTGCATACTGCCGCCTTCTCTGGACCCAAAGCCCTTTCTCCATAATTGTGCTTGCAACCCAATTGCCTTTTGTTCACTCCTCTGTATGTGCAACCATGGCCGCGACCGAAGGAATCATCACTGCGCCGAGATACCAGTCTGCGCGGAGTGGTTTTTGGTGACCTAGGCTGCACATAGAGAGTTCCTCCCACGGCGGCGGGACGTGTGCGACGCCCGGCCCTGGACGCCCCATACACGCGAACGAATTCATGTGCTCCCAGTATACGCATCTTGAGCAGAGGAGGTCGTGTCGGAGAGCGGAGGCCGCCGCGTGTAGAACACGCTCCTCTTCCGGGAAGACCGCAAGGGTTTGAGTTTTGAACTTTGAAACCGTCGCCGCAAGCCGATCACATTTACACATACCATGCGTGGGCCGGAAGGGTTGAACTATTACTTGGAGATGAGAACAAAGGCAGGAGAAAGAACAAAACCGGGCATAGACAGCTGCACCATTTATAATGAAAGAAAATGCTAGGAAAAGCTAACAGCTAAGAAAGCTGCACAGACTCCTTCGTACGTTGTTGATGATCATTTTTTGTAAGAACAAGTGAATCTATTTTGCCCAGAAGAACCACGAAAACGCGAGGTGTAGGCGAAAAAGAATTCTTCATTTTTACAAACCAAAACAATTAAGCCTGGTTGAAACAATTTTGGACATGTTTTATTGTGGGCCACGTGTTTGTCTCAGATCAAGGATCGACAGTATGAACAGGGCGACGACCGGGGAGAGTGTGTTGTATGAGTAAACCAGAAAAGTATGCCACCAAGCTTTTTGCTAATCTTCTCTAAGAACGTCTTGGGGGAGATGAAGGAATGAGAAGGCCGCAAAATGGGTGTTTATGCTTAAAATCTCCAGTACGCAGTGCTTAGGAGGTCTGTTATCAAGCCTTTTTAATTAGTGCCATTTCTGGGAAAAAGGCAATCCGCCTATGGGGATCGCTGTGCTGGGATCAGGAGTTATGAGTAGATTCTAAGTGGCATATCAAGTAGTCACTAAAAATAAATCATTAAAATTGTGCTTGCTTTGTCAGGTGAAGTCATGCACGGCAATAGCGGCCCCATCAGCTATTATAATTAAGGACCGAAAGAGCACCGAGCGGAGGGAGAAATGTGTCTTTTGATAACGTTGCTAGCACATAGTTTTTACGCCACACTATCGGGGTTCAACAATGCACCAATTGGGCAGTGAGCTTGAATAGTCACTTTCTCACACTGGTACTGAACAGGTGGGATTAGATGATCGACGAGTCGAGGTTGAGTGGGGAACCAGAGAGGTGGTATAGGTTGCTTGGATGGCGATGCAGAGAAAAGATTCGTCAGGATATGTTTGAGGCAGTCGTTGGATGTGAAGGTTGGTGTGGGGAAGGCCCTGAGGGGTAATAGTTGTTGATAGCACCGACCAGAGGTAGGTAGCCATCGCTACGATGCTTTTGATTTGGATTGTTTTTGGGTTTGATGGGATAGTGCCATTCTTTCCTACAGCTATCACTTTTTCGGAGCTAATAAATCTGGGTACCGCGAAAGAATCGTTTGTGAGGATGACCGTGGGTGAGAACTATAAGAAAAAACCGTTTTGATTTTTGGCATTTTATGCGAAAATCTATTTTGAAACCTTTGACAATCTACAGAAGCAAAAAGAGTGAAAACGACCAGTTTTGTAATGCTAAGCATCCAAAATCTTATGTGGCTAAAAGGGCGTCGGTAGCCAGCAGATGTTGATAGGGGGACCATTTCAAGAAGACAAGTATTGTTTTAATTTGTACTAAGATCTTTTAGTTAGTAGAGCGGCGGGGATACACAATTCAAATGTTACTTCTTGTCTTAAAACTTTTTGTAGTATCGCATACCCATTATTGGTTGACACTAAAAGGGTCAATATCTTGGACCCGTAATATAAACGTCTGGATCTAAAGCATTGTAGCTAAAAAATAAGGGGGCACGATGTGTTAATGTGACAAAACAGCTGTTTGACATATACATAATCGTGATCAGCAATTAGATAATATAATATACCATGTGATAATGGTGAACCAAATGTGCATCTATATACTAATCTATTGTGTTTGGTTCATATACTATTTCGGCGTTGAGAAAATTATGCGACTTATCGTATACAGTTGTTGATCTGCTCACGCCAAGTGTGCTTATGCTAGGGCACTTGGTGTAATAATATCATAACTCCTGATATTACATTATTAGAGCCTAATAAACATGCCATTTTTGAAATGGAATGTCTCCGAAATTTTCGATTAATCAATTATGGTGCCCGTTCTTCGTGCTTTTCTGTGTAATCTGTCAATCACTTTGGCGGTTGTGAGGGAAGTTGATTGGATTATCGTCATTTGTAATTCTTTAGACTGTGTGTTTGGCAAATATTGATCTTTTCTTCTTGTAATACACCGTGAAAGATGAACTTAAAGTAAACTATTGTGTGGGGTTTAGCTCAAAGAAATACAGAATATCTTTAATATTGTTCTCTTGACGATATAAGAGATCTATCTTTGTGTTTTCGAGTCCGCGACAGCTTTTGCGGCGAACCTCGAATATCTAAATGTACAAACACAATTCACTTTTGAATTTGGTGAGAAAGAAGCATTTTGATGTTTGAGCGGGGGGTGCATCTAAAGATCTGTAAGGCTGTTGTACATTATCCAATTATATTGAGTCACTTGAGCACTCCAGTAAGCCTAGGCCCCAGTATGCAATCCACATCATCAGGGTCTTGTGCCGACTCACTCATTGATTATGCAGGAACTTTCTTAGAGATTGAGGTGGACGTGTAAAACTAGAGCATCTACTTCTTCAGAGCGCTAAAGTTTCTAGAGGTCGTTGTTGAACTTGGGGGAATACTCGAATCATAGGATTACTTGGTGCGTATTTTTGTATATGAAGGATCGCTTTCGTGCTTTGTTATAAGGTGGTTCAATAAGAGATTTGATACGAAGGAGTGCGGATTCTATTTGTTTTGTGGTTATTATCTTATGTTTAGATAATAGAGGAGGTGAAAAACTAGCATAGTCCGGGTAATGCATGTTTTTCATAAGCACACATTATGTATTTGGATACAAAATCACAATAACTTTAATTTCGTGTTCTTAATGTATTTACGTGTCATTTGTTGACACTTTAGTCTGGAAGATGTTTAAATAGTGGTGCAACACAGACATTATTGAAAGCTTCGTGTTCGTTATTTAAGGTAAAAACGCTCAATCTAATATTCCATATGGCTGTGTAAGTATCTTGAGTAAGGCTATATTCCATCATATTTGGGTGATAATTCATGATTGACAGTTGGACTAAAATAATAGAGTGGACGGGTCTAGATCGTCTAGCGGGACGAGCCACGCAAGTGACTATAGCCAGAGAGTAGGTGTTTAACCTACAGTCTGTTTAGGGTGAATACTTTGGGTAAAATACAGTATCCGGTATACCATCTAAATCAGCAACGATGGTGTAGGACCATCATTATGAAGTTGATAAATATTGTCTCAGTGATTTTTTCTGAAATGTGTTCGGGTCCTACCCAAGTTTGCCTGTGGTCTAATGACAAGAATATCATGTAAGGTGATAATACGAGCATATCATTATCTGCAGGGGTTCATGACGACGCAAGTCTACCTGCCATGATAAGGGGCGGAGGGCCCATTGAGTACTTGTAAGTTAAGACACATTGGAGAGACCTTTCCCATAGTATTTTTTGTGCACTGTAATATGTGATGTTATGGTTCTTCTGGTAAATATTATCCCACAATTTGTTTAACATTCGCAGTTAAAATCCTGTTTTGTATTTATGGAAGTGATGTGGTATGAGTAATGCGGCCTAAAGTCATTCTTGTAAAATATTTAGATTTGTATGGTCAATACGTCTGTCTATAATTCCATCATCTGATCTGTAGCACAGGTAGGAAAAGAATCTTGCACTTAGTGTGCTTACATCTTCAAAATTGCATATCTCGGAAAAGGAAGGTCCTAGGAGAAGCTAATTTTGGAGTTTATAGGATATTCATATAACATTTCATCATTGTTGAGTATACGATAAAGGTTTGAACGAATCTTTGATATTATTCTGTTCTATTGAGCGGGATCTCGTAGACATATGAAGTTGATAATTAGCGAGAGATCCAATGGTTGAAAGCTAAGAGACTCACTCCGCCTTTTACGATACTTTTCTAAAACTTGTATTGTGTATTAAATTTAATAATTTCTCTTTTGGAATGGCAAGGGTTCAAAAAAAGGATGTGTAACTATAAATTATTTTTGGGAAATAAAAGGGGTGTTGAAGTTGAGTGTTAAAGTTGATGTTGAATGTCCTAAAGTTGGTGAATGTGTGAAAGATCTATTATTCTCCTTCCGGGGGTTTTGAAAATTTTGTATTATGTGGGTTGTATATCTTCTATTCTATTTATTTGTGACTAATGGTGTGAAGAATTTGATTAGAGTAATTGTTTGATGTTGAATATTTTTAAAGTCTCTTAAAGTTGGTTGCTTTGATCATCATCAATTCTATATTTTTTTAAATGGTGATGCTATATTTGCTGTTGATGTTTTATTTTAATTTCTTAAAGGGGGATGGACAGATGTAATGTTTTATTTGTTGTGTTTGCCAATTTTGTTGCATTAGTGGTAACAAAAAAAGTTTTTTTTCACTTAAATCTTGATAACATTTTCTATTTCTAACCAATAAAAAATAAATATTTTGTTTTAATTTTTGTGTATGTAACATTCAGAACTAAGGGTATTTGTTCTTCTGACTAAATTTGTAAGAATATTTGTCTTTTTCTTTATTATAATTTGTAAAATTCGTTTTAATATCTTTGTTAATTTCAAAAGTTTGTTATGTGTTATTGATTATAGTTTCCTAATACTTCTGTTGTGTTGGTGAACTAGGTGGACTTGATGTGTTTTGTATGCAGGTTTTGGTAAGGAGGGGAATAATTACTTACTAATTTACTTGTTGAAGTGTTGACGAAAGGCTAGGTTTGAATTTCTTCAATCCTAGGGTGTGGGTGATTTTTGTTAGTAACTATGGGTGATTTTGTCTAAGGATGTTTCTAAATTTAATTTTATTGTACCGTCTGGTTCTTGTATTATTTGTTGTATTTCAGATCATTTTGATCTGTAAAGTTTGGAGGGCATAAATTTTCTATTTCCAATCTGTTTGTTTAATAATTTCATCCCAAGTAATCTTTTTTGGTGTAAAAGTTTTATGTTTGTTTTATCGGCTCTATTATAACTGTGTGTCCTGGTGGGGACATCCTAATGGCTCTTGGACTTATTGTGGTTTCATAACTTGTATAATCTATATATTATGCTACTGGTTGGGCTTTATCTTGATAGTAAGATTAGAAGCTTTTAAATTAATAGTTAATGCAGACAATATTGTGGGATCATGTAAACCTAAGTAAGTTTGGATAACATCAAAATAAACGGGACCACTTTCTAAAAGAATTTAATACTGCTAATAAAGAGTTATTGAAGTTTAAATTTCTCTGTCTCTTAATATCACAATATTGGAATGTTTGTCCTAACTAATAATGGTTTTACTGCTACTTGTACTAATCTATGTGTAAAATTTATGTGGTTTGTCTATGTCTGTGTATTGCTTCTAGAAGAAGTTGAATTTCTTCAACCCTTTCTCGGTTATCATTATGTCTTTTGTTGTTTTAAAGAGTAATCTGACATAAATTCAAAACTACCTATTTGATAATTGTGTCTTTTTTACTGGTGGTATGTTCCAGTTATGTAAGTGTTGATCTATTTTTGCATATTAATCTCTTGAGTTGAATAGATTCATTAATTCTTGATTATTAGTGTTTTGTTGTTGATTATTAATTCTAATGCATTACTGCACTACTATCATCTCGTTACTGCTACTTCCTAATCTCCTTAAGAAATGACATCTCTAAAATAATTCTAACTAAAAGTTCCAGTTTCTTTCCAGATCACGGGACCACCAAGGTACGGGACCACCTCTGGGACACCTAACAAGGCGACTGACCAAATGGTTAAACAGGCACCCTCCAGGCTGACCAAGCATAACTAGAATCAATTCTAGAGTTCTCCTAGATTAAAACTTTCTAGATTAATCTAACCTTAATTAATCAAGCTGTGAACAGTGGAGGATGAACAGTAATCTACAGAGAATGCTACAGTGCATGAACAGTAATAGTGAATAGTGATGAACGTGATATCCTGTGAATAGTGATATGCTACAGTACTACGTATGGATGTGGTTTTGTGCGGTTTTTAATTCTAAGCATAACTTCTATTGACGCTACTTGGCTCTGATACCAATAAAGTAGGATTTTAAAAAGCAAAGTAATTGAAACAAAATAAGTAAGAAAAGAAGTAAAAGAATTGAAGTCAATAATAAAAACAAGTAAATGCAAAGACTATTGTAAATAAATGCAAAGAAAAATAAGCAAGTAAAATAATGAATGTGTTGAAGAAACTTACAACTTTATTGCTTTGATAGTTTGTACACGAGAGGAAACTTTCTCTCAAAGCGTTTGAAAACTTCTAAAACTTAATGACTTTTTTGTGACTTCCTAAAAAAAACTTGACGCTACAACGAAGTGATCCATATTTATACACAACGATCGGATTTCAAAAATATTGAATCCGTTACATTAATGAAACACAGGAAAAAGATAAAGTTGTTGATAAGTGATGAGCTGTCTTGGATACATGTCTTGAATTATTGATGACCTACTCTGAAATGGCAGAAAGAGGAAATCTTCATAAAGTAAATCTTGAGAAACTTGCTTGTGTCAGGGGGGCTTGACAATTGTAAACTTTGGGAAAAGATAGTCTGATGGATGCTTTAATGTTGGAAGAGATAAATTTGACAAATTGGTTTTTGGTTCTGACAAGTAAAAGTCTTGAAGTCTTGATATTTTGCATAGAATCTTGACAATTTACTTCTTGGCACAGAGAAAAAGTCGACTGGGGGGAAGAATCTTGCAGCATCGAAACTGTTGAATCTTGAGATTTGATACATATTGCAGAAGCCACGTGAGAGGATTATCTTGAAGAACATTTATTGTTGCAGGAAGGTGATGAAGCATGTGATAAAATTCTTGTTGAAAAGAAGTAACTCTTTCTTGAAATGTGTTGTAGAGAATCAAGAAAATTCTTAAGAACCGCTAAAAGTGTTAAAAATGATGCTGGTCACTGCCTCTTAATCATCTCAAATTGAGAATCTTCAAATTGAGACTCTTGAGAATTGCCCGAAAGAAAATATCTCGAATCACTGTCTTCAAAGTGGTGGAATTGTTCCGAACTTGAGAACTTAATAAATCATTCTCTCCTTCGTAATCACGGCCTCGACTAATTCAGCTGCCTCTTAGCTGTGATTAATTGTTGAATATAATTATGTTTCTGAGTTGATGTTGAAGGTTTATTAAAAAGAGAAGAAGCCCAAAACTAAATGATTCTTGTGGATGTGCGTCCTTATATTTCATGAGGACTTTTTGGCACGAATTTCGGTTTCAAGAATTATTTTGTCAAGGCTTTTGAAGAAATGGGTAAGGCTTCGGCTAATGAATTGGTGTTGGATTTTTAAGATACTGAGAAATGCCAAAAAATCATCAATATGGGTCAGATGAGAATTCTTTGCCAAATATCATTTGAAAACATATCTTGAAATTTTCTGTGATTGTTTTCTTTGAGAAAGATGACGATTTTGGACATAGTAAAAACATTTTTTGATTTTTGAAAATTGTTTAAGGGTTTTTCTCTTGAGAATTATTGACTTTGATGGGAGTGCCCATCTTCACTCAATTACTTTCTGTCACTCACCTCTTTATCACTCAACTTTTTCTTTCCCTGTAAGAATTCACGGGAAAGAAAATCAGTAAAGAATTATTGTGTCCTTTGATGTGTTCATTTCAAAGTCAAAACAAGACAGTATTGCTGCCATCTGAGAAATGTTTGAAACTAATATTTACATCTTTTTAAAAAATTGATGCAGCGCTCAAATTTTTTTACCATCTATTTTTCAAAAGCCATACATCTTGCAGCGGCGCCGCCACTTCCGCGGGACAGGGCGAACCGTGACGGGTCGGCCCGATCGGGTGCGCGACGGTGCGTGTGTTAGAATCACAAATATTTTATTAATCAAATAATCTTGAATTTTGTAATGCATGAAAACAATGATAAAACTTCCTTTTTGATGGTTGAATAATTTTTTTGAGCACCGAGCCAGACTCCAGAATGGAACCTAACTAGACTTTCTTTATTATCTAATTTTTGTTTTAATATTCCACCATAACCTATATCAGAGGCATCAGTCTCTATAATAGGATAGGCTGATGGATCCAATATACTAAGACAAGGAAGGAATTTAATTTTGGATTTGATTTCTCTAACTATTTGGGTATGGGTTTCAGTCCATGCAGGAGGATTTTTTCTAAGTATTTGGTATAATGGTTCACATAATTTTCTAAGGTCTTGGAAAAACTCTGCTACATAATTAAGACATTCTAAAAATCTTTGTAATTGTGTTTTATCTCTTAATTTATCAGGGAAATTATTTGCGAATTCTATTGTCCTATTAATTGGTTTAATAGTTCCTTTATAAATTTCATGACCTAAAAATCTGATTTTTGCTTGAAATAATTTCATTTTTGTGGCTGAAACAACTAATCCATTTCTTTTAATAATTTCTTCAAATATTTTTAAACGTTTTAAATGTTAATCTATCGATTCTGAATAAACTAAGACATCGTCAATATATACTATTGTAAAGTATATATAGGGATTAAAGATATCATTCATAATATTTTGAAATTCTGATGGTGCATTTTTTAATCCGAAAAGTATAACGTTCCATTCATATTGTCCAAAAGTAAAAACTTAACATTAGACTTTACAATCATTTTGATTTTTAATAAATAAATGCATGCACCTTTACCAAATACCAATAGGATCATATTTCTAAAACTAACATCTGCTAAGTACAGATGACAAAAAGAATGTTCACACTAAAAGGTCAAATACACGGTTTTAGATAAATAAGTCGAACTTATAAACGTTTTTCATTTTTAATTTTTTTAATCTTTTAGAAAATACAAAAACAAATACATAAAATCAATAAAAGAATGCACCTTTGCCATACTCTCTTTCATCTGGAAGAATCCGGATGACATTTTTTTAACACTAATCACTCAAATTAAAACCAAAACATAAGAGACAGAGAGAGGGAGGGAAAGCGAAGGGAAAAAAAGAAAAATGGAGGGAAGAGCAAAAGGCGGCAAATCAATTCTACTCTCCAAAATAAAAGTTTCTCTTTCTAGTTCTCTTATTTTCTCTCTCTGAACGCTGTCGGTTCAATCAAATTTTCAGGTATGTTTTTCAAATCTTTAATTTACACACACACACTCTCTCTCTCTCTCTCTCTTTTTTTTTTTTTTAATTTTAATTTCGGATTTCGATTGAGTCGACAATCTCAAACCTCGCTTTGGTGTATCATTTGGTTGTTTCTGCTGCTTGTTTGCCGTGTTTGGTTGCCGAGAAAACAATCGAAAAAGAAAAAGCGGACGAGAAAATTAAAATAACGTTAGGAAGAGTGAAAAGTGAAATTCATCCTGTTGATTGTGCATTCCTGACCAGGCTTTTAAACAAAGTAGATTTCAGTTGTAGTAAAGATAAAGATTTAAGTACATTATTGTTGTTTGCTTGAATCATATTATATCTAAAATTTGATTATGTAGCTACACTCTAATAACCTTGGATCAAAATCTATCCATGCAATTTGATATTAATAGTGTTTCAATTCATTTTTCTTTTAATAAGTAAAACGCTTTGAGTTTTAATGATTATAGGCTGTGTAAATGAGGAGTTGGAGGAAATGATGATAGATTTAAAAGGACTTGTTGAGGCAATTTGGTTTGTAGGGGATTGCAAACTTTTTTTGTGGCAATTTTGCTTGCTAGGATTGCTGCTAAGTTGCAGATCTTTATGCTTGTATTCCAATCCTTAGTTTCGGATGTATTTCAATCCTTAGTTTCGGATTGTTAATTAAGCAATATGATCTTTTAGTAATTATGATAGTAAATGAGGATATATTGGTTATGATGGATATGGTTCATGTGTTAGGGAAATTTTATGGCTGTTTGGTGTGACAGTTGTGGTGGTTACTGAATCTCATCAGTGTTTTATCTGTTGCTAATTTCTTTTGTTTATTTTTATGATGCTCTTAAAATACTAAGTGCTGAAATTGCGAATTTGAAGTGTTGAGATTTTTGTAGGTTTATTAAACTCTATAACTTTTCTTGATGAATTAATGGTCTATGTTACTTTGCATGTCTAGTAACCAATGCCTACACATGCAGTGGAACTGATAGGTTTTAGTTCTAGATTTTCTCAGAGCTCCTATGGTTGGGATGCAATTGTATACATCTGTTGAAGTTTTTGATCTCTCGAACATTTTAAAAATTTTGAAGTTGCATTTATAAAATTATTCTTATATAACTAATTATTAATGAACTTTAAAAGCTTCCAAGAATAAATAAAGCAGCAGAGTTTAGGTAGGAGATCTACCTAAGAAGACTACTGATACTGAGTGGCCGAATATTGCATTTAAGGATTTTCTCACAGTTTTAGTAGATGAGAATAATTCATCATTGTATCACACTCATGTTTTAATGAGTCTTGGGCTTGTGTAAATGATCATCTATTTAAGACAGTCGTCCACTGTTCTCTTATGCTGTTTTGTATTGCAACTGTGAGCCAAACTTGTTTGAAATGTTTCTTCATTTCTAATTCATATTGCTTCAAATACTATCGTACTTTCCAACTCTTCACCGGTGAATTCTAGAATCTTGGAATGAACCTTATTCCAGTTCTTTTTGCTTGTGTTGTATCATTAAATTTGTTTAATTTTTATGGAATAACTATTTCTTAATGCCTTTCAGGTGCTAATTAAGTGGTAATTATTGTTGATCGTGGTTCATTGGAGGTCAATTTTCTTTACCATTATGTCTAACTCTCGCTAGATTTTGCTGATAGTTGAGGAATTATAGAACATTCTCTTTCTTAAATCTCTTGCATCCTTTTTACATGTGTACAGGAGACAAAGAAGGCGACAAGTGGATGATATACTATTCTTTTGTATTCTAATATAAAAAATTTCAGTTGCAAGCTCATCGTTGTGGTGATGATAGAAAAGTTTATTTTCAGGGGCAAGTTTGCAATTCAATTTTTTTTCATGGTTTTAGTTCTCGTCCTGGATTTATATAACATCTTTCTGGGTAACTGCTTTAATTGAAATTCATACACAGCTTGCTGGGATACTGGTTTAATTGAAATTCTCATTTACTTAATTTGTGCAGGATGTGTAGACTTCATTGGCCATGTGCCATATGCCAAAGCTTGGTGTTGAAAACTGCTGGACCCATTTCTTAGTAGACTCTCCCACATGTAGCTTGTTATATATATTTATATCTAATGAGCGATTCAGTATGGGTGTTGGTAAGTTCAATCTGCAATCCTATTACATTCTTATATGAACGCAGCATTTCTTTTATATAATTCATGCCATACCAATCCATTTGCTAGTCTTAAAAAATTGCTCATTTGAGCATGAATTGAGACTATAATTGTAATTTCAATCATGTACAAATGACATCCCATTTCCATGGGATCTTACAATCTAATTTAAAACTTTCTTTTCCTGGGCTAACATGAGGTGAATGCATCTCATGTTAGAGAAAGAACAATTGAATGTACAACATTATGTTAGTCAAAATTCATTTTTCTTCCTGAAGTCAGCAATTTTTTCTTCCCTTTTATTTCAGATCATTCTTGGTACTTTTGCTGGTAATCTTCCCTCATATCTGGATCATTATTAGTACTTATGCTGGTAATCTTCTCTGCACCAGAGGCTGCTTATCTTTTGTTTTCAGTTTTTGTTTTGGCTAACTTACTTGCTGGAAAGTGCAATCTGGCCATAAGAGGCCGGGGTGCTCGCGTTTTTTGGTCAAAACCTCTCACACAAACAAAACCTGCCAATCAATTTTCAAACAGTTAGCAAGTAAAGCATGTCTGAATTATAGTAACTTCTAGATGCAGTAATGTAGCCAATCACAAGTTGAACACATGCCAAGAGAAACCTTTAGGAATAATATTCAACAACTTGCCAAATTTTGGGATTTACTTTTGAATTCTAAATATAATTAATGGCTTGATGAGGATTATATTCTCATTTTCATAGGTATTAAGATTTAAACAATTTATAGCTTATTGTGTATGCAATGTCAAAAGATGAAAGATGTTATCTTTTTCTTTTCTGTTATGGGAGTCAGGTTTTGTGTGTGGTAGTTAAGTTTCTGGTGTCTTATTTGTGGCATAACTTTCAAAATTTGGAAAAGTATTTAAGTTTTTAGCTTGCAGGCGTAAATAATTTATATTATAGGTCCTCATCAATTTCATGATTGTTTATGAAGGTGGATACAATTTTGCTACTATGATGAATGTTTTCAATAAGGAAGTAAGTTATGGATTATTATTTTGGTAATTCAGTACAGTGCATATGTTCTAGTAGGTGGGAATAAGACAAACTGACAACTAAATGTGCACTTAGAAATTGTGTTCTGGTCATGTGAAGGAGGAGGTGATTAAGGAATAGGAGAGTGGATGAGACAAGTATATTGTTCAAATTTGAAGGAGTTTATATTGTGGTTAAATTACGTAATTAGATTGCTAGGATATATTGGTTCTTTTTATCAAAATTATAGAACATATATTTGTTTGGTCAGCACATTTAAAATTTTTAGAGGTGAAGCATTTCATGTGTCCAGCAAGGTTTCAGTCTTATGAGTCTATGAGTTTTCTAAATATCAACAAGTTCAAAAGTTGTCTTTAAGAGAACCTTATTCTTCTCAAAAACAAGATTAGGCATAGGTCAGTGTAATTCTCATATGAATGCATAACTAACAGTTTGTCTTTTATTAATTTTGTTTGTATGTGGTATGTGTGTTAAGTGGAAGTAATCTATCATTTTCACCTGAAGTAGGTAAGGTAATATAGAATATAACTCAGTATATATTTATCAACCAAAGCCGATAAGATAGCATGAAAAATTAAAGATGTTATAATACATACCTCTCCAAAAGCAGTACTGTATCCCCTCTGTTGTAAGGCCTAGAAGACAAAATAATTTTGTAAGCTATGGTTTTTTCAATTTCATAATTAGATTGAACAAGTATATGCATAGAGCTTATATGTTTTCTCTCACCTTTGAATATTGTTGATACAGATGTTCCAAAGTATACAGTACGTCTTGGCAGATTCCATATCAATTCTCTTGGAACATCGATTGGATTGAGGCTAGACTCATGATCTGCAAACATCTGCATGATATAACCACTTAGTTAGTTAAATGGCTCTATAGTGGAGTAATAGTTGAATGGATTGATTCAAAAAGGAGAATCTAGGATGTGGTTGTGCTACATTACCATACAGTGATAAAATAAAATAATATCATGTGTGCATTCATAAAAGAAATAAATCAGTGATGTTAGTGGTTACTGCATAAAAATAATGTGTTACAATGAATGTAACATTGAGTTTTAGTTCAAATCAGTAAAACACACTATTTCAAAGTGCATGGGTGAGGTATGGTGCAAGGTTTGGGTGGTGGTAGAAACTTTATTTATATTCTTCAAAGAAATTAAGAGTTAGTAGATGGCCTTTTTGTATTTACCTCGTTAACTTGAAAGTATGTGCCATTGAGTGGGAAGCTTCCTCTCATTGCTGTTCTACAAGGTATCTGAACATAAGAACCAAGGTCAAGGTTGTTAATCATGCTAGTTTTGGTTTCTGTTATGATATTTCATGTACCATTAAATCAAAATGCAATTTCTCACCAGAAGAGTTCCTCTGACTGTTTGTGAATTGGCTTCTCTTATACTATTACATGAAAAACATGTCTTCTCATTGCACAACTTTCCTGATTCTTGTGACCCGCAGCTTTTTTCAAGAGGTTGAATAGAATTGGCGGTTTCACCTATTAATACATGTAGCAACAGTGAAGGTAATTAAAGATCATGCAATATAGTAGCATTTAGAAGCAAGTTGTTAAGAATTACCAGCCCTCACAATTTTGCATTTTTACTGTATTGACTGCATATCAACATGTCATGGAACCAAAGATAGGGTTCTTACAGTGTATTTACATCTCTTTAAACACAGCTGTTTGGTGAATAATTTCATTCTCAATAGTCAATATTGTGGAGACCACTTTATTCTAAACAAAATCTTGGATATCATTTTTTGTGCTTACCTGGTGTCCATATAGCGAGAAGATATGGGCTGGGATCGTCAGGTTCCCGCCTATTCATCTATAAATTCAGTAACTAATGGTCAAACAACTTATATCATGTGAAGATATTGAAAAATTTAAATTAGAGAAATGAAAAAAAAAACTAACCCCTTCTAGCAGAGGATGAGAATCTGGAAGTTCATACCTGTATTATAGCAGAGAGTTGTTAGAGCAAATAATATGAGATTTTATTGACGTTCAATATCTTTGTTGCTTTAAACAAATTGTCTGTTAACTTGAGGTTGTAAATATCTTTGGTCTTAATCAAGAGGTCAAGGGTTCAAAATTCCCTTTGGGCCACCAAGGTTGTGGGGTATGTGGAAGTAACCTCCACTGGAAAGGTCAGAGGGATTTTTGGGTATCAAAAAGGAAAAAAGAAAATAGTTTTTGCCAATTATTTATAGCAAATAGAATTTGAGTTGGACTTTTTTTTTCTATTAGCAAGTGCAATGTTTTCCATGTTATTTCCAAGTGCTAGTTAATATGTTTATAGCAATGATAAGTTTAAGTAGTTACAACATTGAGATTGTTTGTGCTAAATTGAACTTGCTGCATCATGCAGTAATGGTCTAATTGATTTAGCTTGGGATGTCGACATGGACTTATATGGATCCTATTTGATCTAACTTGGCCTAGCTTAGTTGATGTATAATTCTTCTATTTTCTTATTCAAAATTTACTGCTAATATGACTATAGAAGATATCCACTTACACTTGGTGCTCTGTTCGCAGGCGACTCACGTTCTTGAGTTTGGGTACAGGAATAGAAGCAGCGTCTGGGTTTAAAGCAACTAGAGCCTTGGACATGTCACCTTCTTGGAGTTCCATGTTCTTCTGCATATAATTCTGTAGATTCACTGTGAACTCTTCAATATTGAGTTTTATTGTTGGGATTTCATCAGGATCCTCATAAAATGTGTCCTCAATGTCGCTTCCTGATATTTCTGTTGCTGGTTCTGGCGTAGCTGGTTCTTCAACTATGGGTTCACAGTTGCCAATATCACGCCTTGCTTCTCTGATTGACCTTTCTTCAGGTGGAGGTAATAGCACATGATTGATAACTGGGGCAGGGTTTCGTTCAGCTGTAGTAGGCACAGTTGAACTCACCATACTCCTTTCCTCAGGCCCTGGCAATGCAAGCCTTGCACTGATCCAAACAGGAATAGCATTCAGTTTTATCAAGATTACATGCAAAATCAAACTGGATGGGAAATGAAATGGGTGTCTTTGACGAGAAAGTAAAGTCATTCCATCAAACTTCATGTTATATTAGATAAGTTTTTTTGCCTGGATGAAAAGTGGGAATAGAAATATTAATTAAGGTTTGGAATGCAAACCTTGTGAAAGCACTTGCAAAGTGTCGGCACTCTCCTCTCATTGGACATGCATTGCAATTTGGTTTGCTCTTTGTACAGAAGACCTGCATAAATGTTGAAGCACAAAACATTTAGAAACCTTTTAAATGGTTTTGCGATTTGCTCTCTCAGTTGGTGCTCTGTGAAAGTTCAAAGTGAACAGATAAAGTACCTTTCCAAATGTAATCAGCTGGTAATGTAGCTCATATCTGTATCATGATAGTAAAGCAATCAGTAAGGCCTTTGGTAGAACGAGAGAGCAATTCTTATGGAGTTAATTTACTAGAGAAAACACTGCTTTGATGAGAAGTTATTGGTCTTACAGTGTACATTGATCTAGTTTGCACAATCTTGGCCAGAGATATTTCTGTATTGACTCCAATATTGGGTATCTACAAGAGGATTCTGATTAGTGTTTTCGAGCAGATGGAAAATTGGTGGTTGATTGCTTAGTTAAAAAATGGTACTTACAGTTCCAGGAGGTGTAACTGAAGAGATTCGGGCAGTGGTTGCAGAGGGACCCATCCCAATCTAACTGCTATGCGTCCGACATTTGTGTCGACCTTTATTATAACATAAATGTAAGATTATGATTCTAAGATGATCATCTCTTATGAGTGTTTCATTTTGGTAGTTTCAGTTTAACATTACCGGAAAAGCAAGATGATGAAGAGTTAAAAGCCGCACACATTCTACACTTTTTAACCCCAATCCACGTATGCTTAAGAGATAATCCCTGCAGCACAAACATATTTATAAAATTGAAAGTTATTAATTCTGCAGAGGAAGTGGAAGATTTTGGTTGAAAGTTTGAGAAAGTACTTCGCTTTGTCAGGGGGAACATCTCTTAACCATTCAAGATCAATGCTTCCATGTTCTCCGACAATTCTGTTCAAGAAAGCCTGCAATGCTTAAACCAATTATTAATCTGTCTCAAGAATATAGGGTCATTTGAAGCTGATCTTAGCAAATTTTCAGGATTTTAAGAAAGAATTTAATACACATGCCTGTATTCTCTGTGCTAGCATGTTGTTCATCCCTCTTTCTTTGATAGCGTTAGAAATGTCATCAACATTGGCACATCTCACTGCTTCATAGTCCAGTGAGTCCATTGTGTCTTTACTTCTTTCCTTTTTCTTACCATTGCTCTGAACCTGGTTTCTTAACATGTCCCAGTCAATTGCAGTCTTTTTAGCAGCATCAACCTTCGCTTTTTTCGATTTCGAAATACTGGGATTTGCCTCACCATATGCATTGGAAAGTACTTGCTCCTTTGAATTTGGTTTGACTGGTTTATTTTCTGAGACCTTATTCACTGCAGAGATTCTTTCCTCAATATCAAAAGTTTTTTCCGCAACCTCCCTATAACTCAGTACATTCTGCCCCTCAGCCAGTGTTTCTACAAGATTTACAGGCTCTCTAAGTGACATGGTTTCACTGTATTGTTGATTATATTTTTCCTGAGATCCTGGCTGACAAATACTTTGTTGTGGCATTGATTGCTTGCTTAATTTTGCATGTGTGCACACTGATGGCATTTCTTCTGGAATTGTTAATCCATTCTGTTGGACTGTTGTTTCACCTACATCTTCTGCCAGCTGTCCATTCCTTCTGCTTGTATGATCTGCATCTTTTCCCTTTGGATACGCAAAAGCAGTTGAATGCCAGGAAGATATGCACTCTCCACTGTAGATCTCAGAACCTTCTAATAGTTCTGAGTACGAAGTCATGCATGGCTGATAGTTGTTGGAAGGGACTATCGGCACCTGATTCTGTGAACTGTCAAAATTGAGTAATTGAGTAAAAGTTAAAGAGCTGCCAAAGTTCTCAATGCTGCCCAGTCCTGAGTCTTGTTGGCAATAGTTTGACGACTTATGCCCATTCACATAACCCTCTTGAAATAGTGAGTTCTCATTTATGCAACTGTAGAAATCCTGAAACAAAGTGGCATTTCCCGGTTGTAGAAAATTTGTTGAACCATGACCCTTTTTAGGTTTGCACCCAGAAGTAGGATCTTCTGCTTCAGAGTTGGAGCCTGAAGAGGATTTGATTCCTCCACTGCCTTGAAGGATTGAAGAACTAAAAGAATCTTGTGATGATATGACTTCTTCCTCCAAGCTATGACTATGAGCCTCCAATAAGCTTGTTTTTTCTATCCCTGAGATATCGCTTTCCCTCTGACGTTCTGTTAATTCATGTGGGGTTATAGAGCTTTGACTGTAGAGTGGATTTCTTAATACCTGTTCATTCCATTGGATGGCATCATTTGGGCTCACCACACATACTTCTGGTTCTTCAACCAATATGTTTGTACCATCCCTGTCGTTTGACTTAAGAGGAAATCGTGCTGCCAAAGACATGAAGGCCGAGCTGCATAATGGCGAAAAAGACAAAGAAATTGTTTAGTTGTGTTTTGTGTTTATCCTTTTGTTCAGTTTGTTATAAGAAGTATACTGAAACCTTGCATTACCTTGAGAGATGGTCTGAAACATTCTGTGTAAGGAAAACTCCTATCACTGAGTCAACAACAGACCCCTTCCATTTTGAGAAGCGTCTATCTCCTGTAAGAAAATTGTTCCTTTGTTAACAAACTTGCAGGTAACTTTAGCATTGATTAAAGAAATTCCAGACTCAGTTTATGTTAATTCTTGGTATATATTAAGTGATAAAATCTATTTCTATGTGAAAGATGCATGTTGGGACAATAGAAAAATGTATAGACTTCATTGTTAAAAGTATATGAATTCTGTTTTATTAGCATTTTATGTGAATCAAATAATTGCTGTAGTGTACACTTTTCTGGTATGCTAAAAGACATTGGCTTGCAAGAGTTTGAGAATTTAAGGTTTTGTTTTTCTTTTGCTAAATACAACTTCCATATCAAAATAAAGTTCTTACTGTGTTTTCATGCTCTAGTTATTCTCTCTTCCCTATTGTTGATCGTTCTTAATTAGTTATGCAATTATGTGCTTATAGGTCATACTACATTTTTGGAGGACTTAAAGTACAGATGGCTAAATTGAGGCTGCACAATTTGAACATAGTAGAATACAATATAATGATTGGAATTTAAGGGCTATAAATGTAATGAATTCTACCTTGTACAAGATGCATTCTTGCAATGAAAGATTCAGCTCGTCCTTGGAAAACTTTTCTCTCCTCTTCCCACCATTTTTCCTTTTCCTTATCCATCCCTTCAAGGCCTTCACTTCCTTCCTTGCCCATCAATAGATTCCAGATTCTATTTGTCTCCGGGTCAAGGTCCACTTTAGGCCTTGGTTTACGTTTCTTCATGAAGTCAAAACCTTCATATGGAACAATTGTACCATCTTGCTTGTATGGAACAATTGTACCATCTTGCTTGTATGGAACAATTGTACCATCTTGCTTGTAAGGAACAATTGCATTCTGCACTTGCTCCGGTACATGGCTGGACGCTCCATTGAGACTGAGACCTTTGAATTTATGTATAATCTCATCCATTTTAATAGGATAAATCTGTTCATTTGGAAGTCCTGCATAAAATAGCAAAATAGTTTGATATAGTGATGTTACTCAAATAAGCTGGGAAACTACCTTAGCCTCTTGAGACGCTTTAGTTCATAAAATTCACTAATCATTGACAGTACCTTTTGTTTTTGCAGAATATTGTGGACGATCATGCATGGCTTCCCTATGTTCTGGTAGCAACTGATCCGTTCCAGATGAAGCTGATTTGCCTCGATTGCGCTTCACATTTTGCTTTGCTGAATCATTAGTGTGGCAAGTTTTCCTTGCTACCCTGTCTCCAGGTGCTCGGGCTTTGCCAGGGGGAGTAGGTGGGAGCAGGTTAAATATCTCACTTGCAGCTAAGGATGCAGAGTCAGGGACTGAAGTCAATCCGATAGTCTCTCTCAATTTTTCTGTGCTCAAATGCTGCTTAGAATGAATCTGGTTTGTAAAGTTACTCCCAGAAGCTACAGATTGAGCGTGCCAGTCACTAAGTCTCTTGACCACTTCACTATCTCCTATCTGATATACACTCCCATTGATGCCATTGGCACGTTTTGTTTGAGCTTGAATTGAGCAACCTTTGATTGCATCTGTACCACAAAGGTTGCCATCTGTGTTTGTATGTAGTCCACTCTCAATTTTCCTTTTCCTGCGTTTCTTTGAATCTACACCCACAGTGTTGCTGTTTTGGTGACATCCATCCATGTGAAATATATCTTGGTACCACGATGAAGAACCCATTGAATTTACAGTATGTGGGTGTGTCTGCTCAATTGTATGGCAATATCCTCTCTTGGATCCCCTTGCTTCTTTCAAACTGGACAAAACCTCTGATTGAGGGAAAGTTGAAAAGATCACTCTTGCTTTCTCAAAGTTTTCAAAATTGGTTTGTGCTCGAGACACAGTCTGTCCAATTCCTTTTGCATTTATATGTTGCTGGATAGGAGTGTATCCATTTGTGCTATTCTTTTGGCATGTTTCAGCAGTTCTAGTATCTACATTACTGGATATGACATTTAAATTTTCCATGCGTGGATCTTTTCTTGGAAGTGGTGAAGGTGCAACTGCATGCCTTTCTTGAATTGATTTGTTATCAGCCAGAATTTGATTCATGGAAAGGGTATCGGTACTAACAGTTCCTGGTTGCTGGTTTACTGTGGGAAAACCATTCTGATTGCCAATCAGCATAGTTGACTTTGTTCCACTAGTTCTGTTGGCTAATTCTGTGGCTTGAGAATCCAAGTTTAAATTAAAAGTCATCAGATGCCTTTGTTGCATTTCTTCCTGCTGACTAATTACTTTGATTTGACTTCCATCTCTAGTCTTCTCAAAATCAAAATTCAATGATCTTCTGCATGATTTTGCAGGAGGTCCAGCACTAGGATCAGTAGCCTCCCTCAAAACATCTTCCGGTTGTTCTGCTGATTCTTTCAGGCCTTTCTTCCGTACATACTTTCTCTTCTGACCAGGGGTCTTTTTTTCAGTCTTTTTGGGTTTTTCTACAAATACTTTTGGCCTGATCTTTTTTCTTTTGGGTGGTTTCTGTTGGGGTGTCTTGTTAAGGTCAATTCCCTGGTCACCTCCATTATCCAAATCCTTCTTTTCCTCAAGAGCTGTTGAAATGACCAATGGCGACACATCTTTTGGAAATAATCCATCAGAGTTGTGCTGAGTAGCTTCATTTCCAATGGGCATGACTGAAGTTTGTTGCTTGTCTTTTCCCTGAGTCGAGTTTTCACCCATTGAGAAATTTACTGTCATAGAAAGCTGATTGTTTGCCAACTTCTTCAACTGATGATCTGGTGTTACCGGTGAGATTGGCAGTGAGGAGGTGATGCTTGGTCCTGCACTGGCAGCAGTACTTGGTGAATTCAGTTTGTAGTTGGATTGGTAAGTAACAGGGAATCCATCTGTACAGAAAGCAGATATTTTAGTGAACTCATAGGAGATTAAAATCATGAGGGAGTGACAAGAAGTTGTAATCTTTTCCTCTTTTTTACTAGTAATTTTTTATTAATAACATTGTAATAGTTATTTTAGCGGAACACATTTATGATACATTACCTTCCATGCACATGAAAAAAACAGTTTCACCTTACTTTTCTGCATATCTAGAGAAAAGAACTAAATTGAATATCCCATCCAATCCAGGTGGGGATTGTGGACATTTTGTGTTTTCATGAGATCTAAAGCGAATCTTTCTCTTAATTGTTGAAATTTGTTTTCATTGCAAGGCAGGTTACAGATATTTTTAAGACCATGGTTGTTTAAATTGAGACCATACTATAGAGAAGGTAAGCAATATTTGCCTAAAAGTTTCTATGCCCTAGGACCTTTGGTCTGGTTTGATTTGAGGGGTTGAAAAGGAATAACTAATTGTATTCATATAACACTGAAATGATTTTTATAAAGTTTTAAGAAAATGTTACACTGGTAATTTGCTCGTTGTTCAGCAAATGGTTCAATCTCCATGGCCTATCAAAATTCAGCATGAAGAAACAATCACAACTCTGAGAAATCTTTTATAGTGATTATTACTCAACACATGTAGGGTTTTGAGTGATTAAGTGCTATCAGATTAAACCAAACGAGTATCAAATGTGGATAGATCTTTTTTCTACCTCTACATTGGTTTTTCATTGAAAGAAATGTGGGCGGCGTCTAGCCTAATAAACTATGTTGCATAAATAAGCAAAAATGGATGACAAACTTAATCACTTACCTTGGGATATCTGCTGAAAGCTGCTACTGTTACTCAAGGGGTTTGAACCAAAGTAAATTTGATTGTGAATCAAATTACTTGAGTTGGTGTCTCCCCAGTTGCTGACTTGAGATTGCAAATTTGGAGTTAGAGGTGCATTTGCCATGCTTGTACTTCTGCCTTGAATTCTGTTTACAGAGGCAAATGCAGCTGCATTCTTGTTTGCCAAAAGTTCAGCTACGGCATTATTGTTCCAGCCTGCGCTTTCATTATACAAGGCTTGTCTGTAGGAGGCTGCAATTTGGTTGATCATTCCGCTTCTCTCAGCCACACCAGCATCATTACTACCATAATACCCTTCAGTTCGAGCTACTTCTCCAATCAGATTCAAATTATTAACACCTCCATTGTAACTTGGCAGCTCTAGCACATGATTAATGCCTCTATTCAAATTCGGCAGCTCTTGTATATGATTAACACCTCTACTGTAGTTCGGCAGCTCTTGTGTATGATTAACAACTCTACTGTAGTTTGGCAGCTCTTGTGTATGATTAATGACTCTACTGTAATTTGGCAGCTCTTGTATATGATTAACACCTCTACTGTTATTCGGCAGCTCTTGTATATGATTAATGCCTCTACTGTAATTTGGCAGATCTTGTATATTATTAATGCCTCTATTGTAACTCAGCATCTCTTGCATATGTCCAACAGGTAACCCAGCCAGTTCTTGCCAGTTTTCTCTTGCCAGTGGTCTCCCATATCTGTCCAAGGCCACCGGACTAGTTCTCACCGGAATTGGTTTTTCCGATGTCACAGGCATCCAAGTACCCATGATCTGGATTTCTTTTTCTCTTGGAACTGAAACCCCCTCCCCAAACTTACTTCTTGGACTCATTCAACCAACATAAATTACAAAAATAAACTAATAAATCTCCCAAAATCTCCCTCTCTTCCAACCTCTAATTCTCCTCAACTCACTAAATTAAGCAGCGAAATCATCACAATTCTAATTTTACAACAATCCCCTTCCTGCTATTCCTCCCCATTGCCTCAATTCATCCTGCAAAAACTCCCGAAACACATTTCTCACTCAAACAAACAATCATAATCCAACAATTAAAAACAGAAATAAACACACAACCAAAAATAGAAAGAAAAAAAAAGATCCTCTCAGGTAACAAAACAAAATACAATCTTTAACATAAATGCTGCCAAGTTATTTCTCAACAACTCAATACAGCTATGATTCTTATCTCTATCTTTAACTCTCAGCAGAAACATGGAAAACATGAACAGCAATGGAAACAAAATAAAAGCAAAAGCAATTTAGCAAAATCATAACTCAATCAGATTATGTTAATTGAATTCATTTCTTCATTATTACAGATTAATAGCTTAATAAATAAAAATATATATCAAAATCTGGAGCGAATCTTTCTGATACCACAAGAAATGTAATTAAAATTAGTCAATAAGTATAATTCAAGCTAAATTAGAAATAAATATTAAAAATGTAATCACATGCAACTCGACTCAACTCACCGATCTGCTACTGAGTCATCGTGTTGGAAATGCCGGAGAAACTTTGAGTCAGTCTTCAAACTCAAGAATTAGAAAGAAAAGAGAGAAAATAAAAAATAGAGAGAGAAAAAGGAAACCAAACACACAGTGTAAATTTATTTTTTATTTTAAATATAAAAATAATAATAAATAAATACATGAATTTACTTGTTTGGGCACTCCTTTGTGTTTTTATAATTTGCCAAACACACCCTTTCGCATTTTGTTGTCACATGGTTCTTATGCTTCATAAAATTAATGTGAAATTAAACTAAAATAAAATAAAAAATTATAATTATAATTTCATTACTAAATTTAACTTTGTCTTTTTTGGTAAGGTTTTAACATTGGGTAAGGTTGTATCTCGGGTGTTTTTTTAATTTTTTTTTTTCAAAAAATTGTTAATTATTATTCAAAAGATTTTCTTCATATTATTTAACTAAAATAGACACCAATATATATATAACTTTTTTTCAGACTTGCATCACTTCTTTGAAAAGCATTTTTATGTTAAAAGCACTTGAAAATTGTTATTTATTTTATATGCCTTTTTTTAGAAATAATATTATTATTGTTATTTATTTATTTTTTTTTTTTTTGCATTTGTAGAGAATTTTATTACTTCCAAAATCTTCACCTACAAGCTAAAAAATATATTTGGGTGCTTTTTTCTATAATTATAAGTGTTTTAAAGCACAATAAGTATATGCAATAAAATCCGTTAATGATAAAGACATAAAGTAAATGTGTTTCACTCAGTATTAAAACAAATTATATATAGAAAATATTCTCGGAATAACAATCTTTGTTTTTGCTAACAATGTCATATAAGAAATGTGCAATTAACCACTTTGACTTAAATTAAGTAAATGTGGTGTAAAAAACTGTCAAAGTAATTAATTATATTTCACTATTTAAGTTCTTAATAGAAATAGGATAAACCCAAGCTAGATATAAATTAGGTGGGTTGGGCAGGGCCATTTTGGGAAATTCACAGGCTCAAACAATTGCCTAAAGGGTGTGTGTGTTAAGGGCGTGTTTGGATGAGCTGAACACGTGATTCGGCAAAAACACAAGCCAACTTTGTGACCTTGACCTTGAAGTTTGAGCAATGACTGAAAAAGAGGCGCCCGCAAAGAGAAAAAATAAAAACAAAAATAAAAATAAAAAACTGTGAATGGAACAAAAGTTGTTAAAGAAAAATAAAGTTTGCATGAGAATAAGATTACGTACTACTTTTAAACATGTTGTGTCTTCCTGCAGCGTCGGGGTTGTAATAGAAGGTGTTTTTATAGAAAGCGTTATGAATTAAGAATTTTAATAATTTTAATAAAAATTGTAAAGTGATAGTTTTCCTTCTATAATTTTATTAGACTCTTTTTATTATTATTTTAATTTTAATTTTATCTATTTTAACGAAATGATAGTAGAAAAACCATAATTTCTTTTTATAATTAGATCAGAGAAAAATGATTTATTATCTTTGAGAGTCAAGACAAAATTAAAAATTTCATTCATTCGACTTAAAATAATCTTAATCAATATTATAAAAATAATCTGAATCACTTTGAGCTTCTTCAATATGCTAAATTTCTAAAAAATATTCACGACAAAAAATGAAAAACAATATTTGATTAGTAAAGAAGCAAGATAAATTCATGATATTCTATCTTATAATCAAATTAGTTATAATTAAATTTTTTGTATAAAAGTTTACATAAATCTTAAATTTTTAATGGATTTCTTAGTTATGGGATTTAAAATAAAAAAAAAATTGCAAAAGTTTTATCGTTCTCACCATTAGATATTTTATTTTGTTGATTCTTTGACCCCCTAACGACAAGCAAGGATTTAACTTTACATAAATAGAGAGTTTGGATTAGGTTCTCTTTAATACTAAATTTGTCTATTTTAATTAAACCATTATATAAATAAATAAAAAAGATAATTGTCTTTTTCCTATTTAAAAGATAAATTTCAAGATTCTCAACTATACCTTTAGTTAAAGGTGATTTATTTTATTTTTATTTTATCCACACACACACACACACACACACACACACACACACACATATATATATAAAATAAATAAATGTAAAACATATATATAATAAAAAAATTAAAAAAAAAATTGTTGTCCTTAAATATGTTAACATTGAAGTCTTAGTGTAGAGGTTTAATAACAAAAGGCTAAGCATCTAATTAAATATTTAATATAAAGATCAAACTCTCAACACAATTAAAAATTGTTGTTTCTAGACTTCTAGATCCATTTATTATGGGGTATCTATCTTTGATAGGGAAAATAAATGTAAATATTATTTTGATGGGTGAAGAGATAATTGAAATAAAGGGTGTTGTACTAGGGTTTTGAGTTTGGGTATAAATAGACTTGTCACAACCCCAACCTATTATCGTCTCTAAATACCCGACTCATTATCGTCTCTAAAGATACTAAAAACTAAATACTCAACCCATTATCATTTCTAAATACACCATAAATATATTTTTTTAATATCATGTTTAACTTTAATCGGTTTGAGAGAGTTAAATTGTGCATCAATGAATTACATGACTTCCTTGGGTTTAAGATAAATAAATGATTTTAAATTAAAGATAAATTTAAGAAATTAATAAAATATATTTCGTAATATTATTTAGAGTAATAGTAGCCTTACAAAGAGGCATACAAAGAGACAAATCTAACCTTTAAAAGAAGGGAAAAATAGAGAGAGAGAAAAACAATAATAAATTTTAAAGGTTAGATTTGTCTCTTTATATATCTCTTTATATGACTCTTTATAAAACTAGTATTACTTATCAGACTGTAGGTTGAAGCCATCCATACACTTTTCCAGTTCACCTTACTGTTAGGGCTCCAAGATTTCAGGGTCTTTAAAACGAGTTTTGAAACAACTGGCAGTCGGCGGAACAATACATTTTTTAATTGTATAGTTAGGTTGAGTGATGACGTGTCCAATACTTTTCTATCTAGGAGTCAGAGTCACGTAAGTAAAGTACCCTATTTTATTATAGTTAAAACCACTTTTTATTTTTTATAAAATGTTTAATCAATTAACCATATGCTATAAGAACAAAATGAATTATATGCTATAGTAAAATCTCCAGCATATTTACTGGATTAAAATTATTTTATTTTTAAATTATTTTTCTTATCAAGATCAAAATTTTGTTTTCAATTTTATTTTCTACATCAATTTTACACTTAAAAAATAGGTGTGAAATGAATTTATTGGGTTTGGATTCCTATACAAAAATAATAAGATTGAAACCAAACATATATAATTATAAAAATAATAAGATTGAAATCGTAACTGAAAATCATATTATATGATGTGAAATAAATCATAAAATGTCAAAAAGAGAAATGTCACATGGGAAAATACAAATATGAGTCAATTATAAAAAGAAAATTGACATTTAAATTTGTGAAATTCATTACAAAATAATAAGTAACATAAAACTTAAAGATTAAATATTATATAAATAAAAATCAAATAGAAATATTAATAAATGAAATTCTTAATTTTAGAATTAAAAATAAATAAATATTAATAATTTACTTGTTTTAATTAGGGGGATAATGTTCGGAGAGGTTGATGATGGTTAAGTACACAAATACCAAGGCGCGTGGAGAAGTCGTTGAGCTTAATTATCAAAGTCAACATCAGGAAAATTGAATTGTCACCTAACGTGATTTATACGTGCCATTAACAATAATTTGGCATGAAAAATCAGTGGATTAATTAAAGCTTTTTAATAATTTAATTCGTGGTCGTACAAATTGTCTTTTTGTGGGTCCGTTAACGTTAAGCTCTGTTTGTTTGGTGTGGTTGGCTGGCCAGTAGCCGCTACAATTGCTTCACTTTTAATTGGTTACTTATTTAATTATAATTTTGGACACGTGTCATCTTTATGTAATTTAATAAATGTTTTTATGATTTTTTTAATTTATGGTTATTGATAGTCAAAATTAGGGGTGGGGACATGAGTAAAGGGTAAAACCGGAAATGGTGGGTACCCACCCGCCAGTTTCGGTTTTGAAAAATTGGAATCGGGAATTCCTAAGTTCGATTCTTGTTCCTACAGTGCTGGAACGGGAACCGGAACCGAGGTCCAGGTATCCGGATAGGGACCGAGATTGAATTGTAATGTTTGTAAAATATTAGGGGTGTATTTGTCATTTTTTAGAATAGGGCTAACTATAATTAACCCGAGTACCTAAAATCGAAACTAGAGCCTACGTTTCATGTTCCGGTTCCAAGCTTATAGGAATCAGAACCGAAACAACTGGTTTCAGTTCTGGTTCCAGTTCTAGTTCCAAATCCCAGGATCTAATTTAGAGATTTTTTTTTTTTTTTTTTTTGCTATATAATTTATAGATTTTGTGTTAATAGTATTTTACCGAAATTTTAGTTTTACGTATAGATAAATATTTTCACATATTGTTATTTTGTTAAACATTATATATCTAAGGAACTATAATATAAGAAAGCATATTAAATCAAACCCTTTTTTAAACTCTTGGATCTAAGTTTATGAGATCTTAATCAACAATTAGACCTAGATCTATGTTTTTTATTTTTTATTTTCGCTAAAAGATTAATTGATATTTTTATGCTTAATATGTTTAACTATAACTTCTAAACCATGAAACATTATCACACAAAGGTCAATCATTTCTATTAAAACAAAAAATATAAAACTTTGAAATCGAAAAGATCCATACCTGAAATAGCCCTTCTTTGTGTAATAAATTGTCCACTAACCTTGAAGTAATTTTGCTATAGAGAAGAAAAATAAAATGAGATTAAAGAGTTTGCAATGGAAATAGTATAAAGAATATAAAATTTAAGAATAAAATGAATGGACTCATACCTAATTTTTCTTCTTTATTTTGATAAATAAAAATATTGTTGTTTTTGTTTTCTTGAAAGTATTATAGATTTGATAGAGTAAGCCACTCTAGAGAGAGAGAGAGAGAGAGAGTGGGGTGAAATGGAATATAAATTATATTTTGCAAATGAAAATTTGAGAAATAAAAAGAAAGAGGATGAGAGAAAGAGATGGTAAGTTTTTAATTTTTAT